TGCTTAATATAGCTCATCCTTTTTTTCCATATAGTATATAAGGGGCTTTTTTTTTTGACAGCTGCATCCTAGTGATGTACCATTATTTAACCAGTTCCCTTTTGTTATTTAACCAGTTCCCTTTTGCTAGAAATCCCATCCCAATTTTTGACTGTTATAAATAGCAAACTTTGAATATGCATCATATCATTTTATACAAATATATTGATAGATTTCTTCTTAGAGGTAGAATTACTCGATTTTTAATTTTCAAGATATTGCTAACTTACTCTGTATGGGATTTGTGCCCACTTACATTTGTGGCAGCAATGTACTAGTGTGTCAGTATTCTCAGTGACTTGATGGCAGCCTTTGTTGTCAAACTTTCTGAGTTTCGGCCATATGAGGGGTAAAAAAAGAATGTCATTTTAATGTATATTTTTCTTATGAGCAGAATGGGGCATCTTTTTGCTTGTGCCATTATATTTTATTCTGTGTGTACTGCCTTTTCCTAACCCTTGCTCATTTTTTTTCTGTTTCATTAGTATTTTTCTGATCATTATTTGAGAGGCGTGTGTGTGTGTGTGTGTGTGTGTGTGTGTGTGTGTGTGTATGTGTGTGCGCCCGCACATATGTAATAGTAACCTTTTGTGGTATGGGGTATTTTTCCCCGATTTATTTGTCTTTTGGTTTTGCTCCTGGTATTTTTTCTAAAGGGAGATATGTATATGTGTGTGTGTGTGTGTGTGTGTGTGTGTGTGTGTGTGTGTATTGATACATATATATGTATACACACACATATATATGTATAAATACACACACACACACACACACACACACACACACACACACATATATATATACACCCACACATATATATAATCCAGTAGCATAAATTTCAGGCATATACATATCAAATGGTAGAATTAAGAAAAGTGCCTTGGGAATAAGAAGAACCAAGAAATTACTGTAGAGAATTAGGTAAGACTTTATGGCAGTTTCAACAGCAGTATTTACCTGTTTAGCTAATATTTATTGAACATTTAATTCATGTTAGGAACTGTGCCAGAAGTGGAAGGATGTGGTGAGTAAAATCAGACCATAGTCCTTGCCCTTAGGTATTTTTAAGTTTACTGGGATGGCAAGTTATCAAATAATCAAAAATATAATACTGTAGTTGAGTAAGACCGTAATGTATTCCATGCTATGAGACAATACTGTAGACAGATTTAATTTAAGGAAGTCAGTGGAAACTGTGGTGAATTGTGAAACATGTATATGAATTTATTGGCAAGAGGGGAAGAGAAGAGCCATCCAGGCAGAGGCAGTAGCTTGTTTCTGGGGGAGATGCTGATTTTAAGGGACTGAAAAGACGACAGTGTGATGGAGAGAGAGAAAGCAAGACGAACCTGGAGAGGTAATTGGGGGTCAGATTTGTAGATCATAATAGGGAGTTTTAAGAACTCCCATGTTCAGAAAAATGGGATGCTACTTATGAGTTTTAAATAGGGGAGTGATTTGATGAACAAAATTAGTTTAGATGTAGGGTGTGCAAGGATTACTATGACAGAGGAGAAGCAGGTGGCGGCTTCTGTAGTAGTCCGGGAGAAGGAAATTTGGAAGCTTGTATTTGGTTGGGAGTAGAGAAGTGTAAGGATTTGAAGGACATGTGAAGATTGACTTGATATGGAAAGTGAGAGAAAGGGAGGTGTTAAGGACGACTGTTGTAGCCTTCTGGCTTGTTTAATAAGGTAGAGGTGAGGTTACACAGTGGGATATTATAATCTGGAAGACAGCCAGTTTTGGTGAGATGACATTTATTTTTTATATATAGAGTTTGAAGTGCCTTAGAGCCAGACAAAAGCAGATGTCAAGTAAAATCAGCAGTTGAATATATTGGTCTGTAGCTTATAGGTGGGTAATTGGAAGACATCTGCATGTATATAGGTGGTGATTGATTGGTTGAGTTGGGGTCTCACTCTGACACCCAGGCTGGAGTGTAGTGGCACGATTCTGGCTCACTGTATCCTCGACCTCCTGGGTTCAGGTGATTCTTCCACTTTAGCCCCCGGAGTAGTTGGGGCTATACGCACATACCACCAGGCCCGACTAATTTTTTGATTTTTCTGTAACCCAGGCTGGTCTCAAACTCCAGGGCTCAAGCAGTCTTCCTGCCTTAGTCTCCCAGAATGCTAAGATTACAGATGTGAGTCACTGTGCCTAACTAACAATAGATGGTATTTTAAATCATTGGTTGGAATAAGATAGTCTGGGTCAAGTGGTTAAAAAGAGGAAAGTTGTGGGCCTAGTGCTGAGTCTTCATAAACTTGAGCATTTAGGAGCATGAACCAGCAAAAGACACAGAGAAGGAATAAGAGAAACTGGAGAAGTATAATATTATGATAGAGGAACAGGAGGAGTTGCAACTGTATTGAATGTTGCTGACTTGTCAAGACAGGTGGAGGCAGACAAAGCCCCAATGGATTTGATGACATGAAGATTGTCCATGACCTTAGAGATAGTGATGGGAGTGAAAGCAGATTGAGGGGAATTGAAAAAGTAGGTTGAACAGTGGAGGCAGTAGTTTTAAATTTCTCTATTCAGAGATTTGACTGAGAAGAGGTTAAGACAGGCAATAGGGTAGTTGCTAGAAGAGCATGAAAGTTGTTTTGTTAAATGGGAGAGTGCATATAAAAAAGGAAAAGCAAGTCGTTGGCAGTTTAAGGTTCTGAGAAGGCAGAAAGGATTGAGATCCAGCACAGATGAGAGGAGGGATGAGTTCATCGTTGTGATAGGAGGAAAGATGGCTAGGATGGGATGCACAGTAGGTGTGCATGTTGGAAATTGGGAAGAAGAGGTGGTTCTATATGATACTATTTGTGTGTGTGTGTGTGTGTGTGTGTGTGTGTGTGTGTGTGTGTACAATAGGAGGCATAATCATTGAGTCTCATGAGAAGATGGATGGCTAGGGGTTTGAAAAGACACAAAATTTAGGGGTTTGAAAAGACACAAAATTTGAAAATAGACTGCAGGAATAAGTTGACGAGGAAATATAGTTGAATTGCTTGTACTAATCTGGGTTATTCAATATTGATGTTGTATGTTTATAGTGGAGTATATCTGCCCCATGTTTAACTAACTTCAGTGTTCTTCTCTGAAGTCATACAGAAATTAGATTGTCAGCTTCATCCAGAGTTTGTTTGGTTAGATGAGTGCAAAGAAAAGAAAGAACAGCAAGAGTGTAATCAAAGATAGACAATTCAATCAGGAGGAAAATGGAAAAAAGCTCTGATGAGTGGAAGGAAATGTCATGAATTCAATTGGTAGAAGTTGAGGAACTGTCATAGTGTAAAATACTTGAACAAGCATCTAGGGATAAGAGCAGGTGTGATCTGAGGTAGTATTTGAAATACTTATCTCGGAGGGGATGCAGTGTAGTGTCATAATCTTTATTTTTAGAAAAGCTATCCTGCAGATGGTGAGACTGTGTAGGTAACCCATCTTGGGAAGTAGAAAGGGAAGATGGGTTCCCTTTGTCCCAGTCTTTTCTGGCCCCATGCCTTAGTTGGGCTGATGTAATAGGTGCCAGCTAATTAAGAGGCTCTTGGAACACCACCTTTCTTTTTGTAAGTTCCAGGCCTCGGATAGTGTGTTATGTTGCAGGTCCCTTGGGAGTTCCATGTTGCCCTCATTCAGTTCATCATGACTTGTGCAGCTGATGTTTTGGGAGTTCATTTATCATGAAATGAAGAAGGTGTCTTTCTTCTGTGGTTTACTCATTATCAGAAAGTTTTGTGCTCTGAGTTATTTTCAAGTAGTTGATACATTTCTGCTGATTCATCAATATTCTCTTTGTGTTTTAACCAGTGTTGTATATTTGTGACTCAGGCTTGTAATCAGTAACTAGAACAGAGGATGCCAACTGATTGATACAGAATCAAGGTTAACTTCCTGATTTGAATTCACCCTTATGTGTTCACTAATACAGCTCTAAATAATAAGAAACAGTAGGGCAAATGCATAAACTAATTTATTGAGAGCCACATGTTTGCTAAATGTCAAGGCTTTAGTATAATTTACATATATGCATGTTTTATGTACAAAACTCCTTTCAGTTTACAGTGGGAATTGGTTGGACGTTCTTTCTGAGAAGAAAAAGTTGGGTGGGATAGGTGAGAAGAACAGAAATGGAGAGATGGATGACAGTAAACAGGGAGATTGCCTTAAAGAGCCTTTTGCATGATGAAGTTAGTGGACTTGTTGCCCTTGGGACAGTTGAAGGGAATGGGACCTTTGGAAAACAACTAATGAGTACAGTAAAGGAGAGAAAATTGTCTAAAATTTTGCAATACCCTTAATGTCTAAGGTGATGATCCAGTGTGCTCTCTAGTTCTGGGTTGGAAACAGTTGGTTCAGAAATTGATGTTTAAGGAATGCCAGTGGTTTGAAGAAGAAATAAGTTGTCTTTCAAAGGCAGGTATCATAAAACTTGTGGAAAAAGAGACATGTAAAATCCAGATATTCTGCTATTCTGCATAACCCAGTGTTAAATGAAACCTTTTCTTCAGATTTATGAACACAATTTACTGAAATAATTAGAATCCGTGTAAAATGTCGGGGGTCCCAAGCAAGTTTAATGATCAACAAAAATGCAGCCAACTTGTGGTTCTACTTTGAATGTTTGAAACACAGAGTTCTCTTCTGTCCAGACATCTTTGTTTGTCTTTCATTTATCACCTGGGGAATATTGTTTCTTTACATTGGCCAAAGGCAAATGAAATCAAGGCATTATTTTGTAGTACGTTGGTAGAGAGATTCAAAATGGTCTTATTTTCTTTCTGTATAAACGTTTTGAGTCTTCTAAGGCAAAAATTGAATGTGCCTGACATGTTGCTACAAATTTAAACGTCAACATGATTGGGACAGTGCCCTCTGGAAACACTTGCCTTGGCGGCATTTTCGGACAGATGCTATCAACTGTTTTATCATGAGAGGTAATCTTTACACTTTCCTGTATGTAGGCTGGTGATGTACATCGAGAGAGACAGCAGAAAGACCACTCCAGGCAAGGAGCAGCAAAGCGGCAATGAATACCTGTCTAAATGCCTGGATCTTCTCATCCGTCACATCGTGCAGGAACTGCCACGAATCCTGGGTAAATTGGAGTCTCATCCTCAGGCCCTATTTCTGCTTATTTTTCTATGAGTTGACTTTTAGGCATCACCTCTTTTTTTATTCTTTCTTGTCTTTTTTTTTTTTTAAGTCTTCACTGCACATTTATTTTGGTCACTATTATAATCTTTAAGGACACAAAAGCCAGCAGCAATAAAGTAACATAAAAAGATAATGATTGAGAATTTTTGATGTGCCAAAAATGTAGATTACTGTATAGAACTGTCATTTTACAAAATATTTTTTCTTAAACATTGAATAATTTTTGTTATTCAGCAAAACATCAAACATGCACATAGTATTTCTACAAGAATACTGCCTTAATATTGTCAATACCAATACTAAGCTTTTCTCCCCCAAATTCAATGATTTATGGTTCTACTGTATGTATTAGTGGTAATACGCAAAACTGATTTTGTTTTCATGGTTAGGTAGCAGATTGACTTTGCATTTGGTGGCCAGCTGTGTACCCTAATTTTTCATCTTTTATTTCTTTAATACATTTAATTACATTTTATAAGCCCTGAGATATTAGATAACCTGCTAATGATTGTACACTTTTAGTCTATACTTTATTCCCATGAATTTGCACCCCACATAAGTTTTTAAAATTATTTACAGATGGTTGAAACTAAAGCAATAATAAAATGTACTACTTGTATAAGTAAGACTGGTAATAAAGCTTTAACTAAGAGTTGCACATTTTATGCATTTTAACTTGCTAAAAGCAACTCTTAAAATTACATCTGTAATTCTGTCAGCAGTAGGTGCTTTTCATTTTGCTTATGTCTTTATGTGTAACCATATTCACTATTTCTTCCTTTGTAAAACAACTACTTTTTCCCTCTCCAAACAGAAATGCTAGTTTTCCAACCGAACAATTGTGAAAAGGAACTTAGCATTTGAACAGTACATTGTTAACTGCAGTGCTTAGCAGAGAAATAGTCTCATAATAGGCATTCAATAAATATTTGTTCTACATGGAATGAGTGAATTATAAGGCAGCTGTTTGAGTCATATACTGTTCATCATATACTGTAACTAATTTTGCTTAAGTAGGAAATTCAGGTTACCAGATTTAATTCATTCTCAAGTGTAAGTCCAAAAATTTGAAATAAAAAATATTTACTTACCAATTATCAGAAAAGTAAACAAGTTGAGCATAGTTGTCATTGTATTGTTAGTTGGCAGAAAAATAAAAGAACAGAGTTACTTTCCACTAACTATCATGTACAACTAAGTGAAAAGGAAGAAATAAAAACTGAAAGGTGTTAACTACTCTTATCATTTTATCCACATTTATTCTTGCAGCTTTTTGTTCATATGCTTATCCCTGTTAACTTCTCTAGCTTGAAGATAATTTTATTATGTGAATGGATTTCCCCATCAACTTAGGTACATAATGTTAATGAAAAGCTGGCATAAATAGAAGATTGTATTTTCATGTCATGCCATATTTCTGCATATATTTTTGCTAACATTCAATTTTTCTTATTTAAATGATGCTGTATAGAATATGAGATAATCTGTCAAATCACTATGAGATTATATGCTTATAATATTCAGTATTTGTTGATAGCTTTAAAGTATACTCTACACTTGTCATCTAGCACATTAATAAGTAACAATTACTCTTTTTTGACAGGGTATACTGACACATTCTTTTTTTTTTTTTTTTTTGAGTTGGAGTCTCACTCTGCCACCCAGACTGGAGTGCAGTGGCCACTCCCAGCCACCGCAGCCTCGACCTGCTGGGCTCCGGCGATCCTTCTGCCTCAGCCTTACGAGTAGCCGGAATTGCAGGCCCGCGCTACCACGCCAGGCTAATTTTTTTTTATGTTATTGTAGAGATGAGGTCTCGCCTGCCCAGGCAGGTCTTGAACCCGCGGGCTCAGGCAATCCACTCACCTCAGCCTCCCAAAGGCGTGGGATTACAGGCTGAGCCACCGAGCCCGGCCACATTCTTAAGTTAATGTCTTTAGCCCATTTTTAGTCAGATACAGAACAATAGCAATGGCAAAAACGTTGACAATACAGTTCATGGTCCGGTTCTCCCATCTTATGGTACAAGTTACATCAGATGTGGTATCCCAATAGCATGAGCTGACTGTGTGAAAGCCATATGCACTCTTCTGGACCACTGCACATGTCACAATATATTTAAAAGCTTTTCCCAACTTAATCAAACGTGTTAAAGATTGCTCCACTATGCTTGCAGTTCATTGGTTGATGTTGTTCTGATTATAATCTTCACCACCTAAGACCCCATCTACACACTCTTTGACGATATTGTGGGCTTCATCAGCATTGAAGCCAACCTCGTCGCAGTGGCGATGGTACTCCTCCATGGTGGCGCTGGCTCTCTCTTGTCTGTTTTTAAAGGTGAATGTAATGACACCTTTTCATGAATATGTAATTACCTTTTTTTAAAAAATGCGTTTTGCATCAATGTCATGCTTGAGGCAACGAGCAAGCTAATATTGAGCTGTTATCTGAAGTAAATGGTGATTTAAGGAAACAAAAGGAAAGGGTTCTCATTGCTTAAAATTGGACTTACACTATTATTTTGGATAACTTTTCTTAAGATTTCTTCTGCCTAAATCTGAATAAAAGAATTTTTCTTTGAAATTAGAGCCACAGATTTGTTGTTAAAAAACTTTAGATAGCCGGGCTCAGTGGCTCAACCTGTAATCCCGCACCTTTGGGAGGCTGAGGTGAGTGGATTGCCTGAGCCCGTGGGTTCGAGACCCGCCTGGGCAGCGAGACCTCATCTCTACAATAAATCAAAAAATCAGCCGGGCGTGGTAGCGCATGCCTGTAATTCTAGCTACTTGGAAGTGCTGAGGCGGAAGGATTCCCGGAGCCCAGCAGGCGAGGCTGCGGTGGCCGGGAGTGGCCACTGCACTCCAGTCTGGGCGACCGAGTGAGACTCCAACTCAAAAACAAAAACAAAAACAAAACCCCCAATACAACTTTAGAATGCATAGATTTTATTTTAAAAAATTTTCCACTTGCTTTAATACGATGTTTTTATTTGTATAAACTTGTAGGGTACATGAGAAATTTTATTATGTGTATATAATGTGAGGGTAATCAAGTCGTGGTATTTAGGTGTTCATTGCCCAGGTAAAATGCATTTTTGTTATTATAGTAAATAACCCTCTGTGCTATCTGATATCGAGTTCATTCCTTCCATCTTACAGTATGTTTGTACCCTTTAATCCAGTTCTCTTTAGCCTCATCATTCATTCACTCTTCCCAGTCTGTTATCTTTCCACTTTCTACCTCCCTGTGATAAAATTTTATAGCTCCCACGTGTAAATGAGAATAAAAAAGCATTAATTTTAATTTTAAAAATCAAAAAGTTAAAATTTAATGTGAAAATAAAGAATTTCGATACTGATTTAAAGCTCAGAGTTTGGAACTATTTTTGGTTTGAAAAATTATCTTAAGATAAAAGCATCTAACAGTGATTTGCAAAGGATGTTTATTATAGCTAAAGAAATACCTTATTTCATTTTTATTTGCAGCAGAAATTAAAATAATCTAAGGAATACATACATGTAGCTTAAATCCCATTCCATACTTTTCCAGCAGATGTAGCTATAAACCAGAAATATTTAGAATGTTAAATTTGATCCAAGCTATTATAGTAAAGTATATTTAGGCTAAAAAATTCAGACTGTTAAATCAAAGTAATGGAAATATCTTCATGGTCAACTGACAGTAACTTTTGCTTCTTAGTAATACTTTAGGAAATTATTTTTGCCTGTTAATGACTGAAAATAAAGCGTCTCAAAATTTATTTTAGATTGTAATCTTTTCTATCTCCAGCTGAAGGCTATAATCTGGTCAATTGTTAGCTGCATTCTTTAGTACCAGACTTATCCTGTGTTAGGATTATGATGATAAAATTCTGATGTCCACAAGACAAGTTTTATTTGTCATTAGATTTGTCATCCAATGAGAAGTTTTGTGAATTAACATCCTTTTTACTTTCATCCTGTTCTGTTTATTGAAAAGTGGTGTTCTATAATCTGTTCACTTATGATTTTAAAGTAATTTTTCTTGATAATAAACATAATAAATGGTCATGGTTGAAATTTGGAAAATACAGAAATATTTTAAAACTACTACTCTATTGTAATCACTTACACATTTTTAAAAATTTCTAGATGAGAGGTGAAATTCATTGATAGTGTATATGCAGAATACATGTTCTATTCCCAGAAGCCACACACGTCTGATATAATTTCAATACTTGTGAATAAGTATACCCACTTCTTTTATTTGGAGATTAATTACCTTAGAAGTCCCATTAGTATTCAAGAAATGACCAGTGGTTCCTAAGTATTTGTGGTTTTTAACCTCACATGATCTGGACTGTGCTTTACAGGTGACATTCTCAATGCCTTGGCTAATGTTTCTGGCCGAAAACACCCGTCAACAGTTCAAGTGAAACAGCTGAAGATGTGTCTTCCCCTGATGCCTGTAGTGCTTCACCTTGTAACTTCACAGGTACTATCCTATTAAGGAGAAGCTGATATAAACACAGCTCCTTTCCTTGTAAACTAGAGCTAGAAATGTCAACTCAGACAAAACATCTTCATTTTTTTTCTGAACTAAAATTGTACATGGTTTCTGGGATTTAATCTATAGGAATTCTCATCACACAGGTATTTCGACCTCAAGTTGTAACAGAAGAGTTTCTTTTCAGTTACGGAACTATTCTTGTGAGTAACACTAAATTTTTTTGTTTCTAATAAAAATGTGGCTGTCTCTACTGTTTGTGAAATTTTGTGTCAGACTGAGGTAATTTAAAAATCCTAGTGGTATTTATTTGTCTCTAGGGAAGTGACCTTTTAATATTTTTATCTGTTGACTGTAATAAAATTTGACATTTGGAGAAAGACACATTCTTTCCTGATAATATATTTTGTTCAGAGACAGCCCAAATAGGGTAAATATGTCCATAGAAACACTTTCATAGACACTGGTATTAAACATCATGAAAAAATTTAAAATAGTAAAACTGTGAGAATGGAAAACTAAGAATATATTATCATTATTACTTACTTTAGCTTACATTGTCCAGCCATGTGCAGTGTCTCTTTTTATGATGGCATTTCTCTATATTAAGCTCAGTTGAACCTTTTCTTTAATTTTGATGATATGATTAGAAATGAAAAACAAATTGTTGTACTGTCTTTCACTTCAGTTTTTGTTCACCAAAAAAAATTTTTGTTTTAGATTGTAGCTCATGTTTTCCCCTAGCCTGTAGGAGTTGCAGTATATTGCTGATAAAATGAGGAGCCTTACAAAGGGAAAGCATGCAGCACCTCCAGTCTTACTTTGATATTAATAATCAGCTGAACTGAGATTTTCAAAATGCCATAGAGTTATCTAGTTAAAAATCTCAATTTTATTGTTAATTTGGAATAACAAAAAGATTACCGCCCACAAGTGAGAAAATGACTTTCTAGAAGGTTCATTATAGGGTAAAGTATGATGCTTTTAAGTACAATTGTTGAGTGCTGGCTGCTGACTGTTAGGAAGCAATGCAGTAGAGATGCTTTCATGTGCATTTTCAAATCTTTATTATTCTAGTGCCTCGAATCCTGAGTTCTAGAAAGTAGATTATTTTGGTAGCATGTTCATGAATTTGCAGATTATTAGAATTTTAATCTACCACTGTCTTGACTTTTTATCTATGTTTAAGTATAAGATAGGCATCATTTTAGCATGACTATAATTCTCTATTGATAATTCCATTGCACTGATATATCTATGCCTAAAAATAGTAATTTTGCTCTTGTAGCCCGCCTTGGAATATTTTGACATAGTTTTTGTTTGGCATCGTTATAATGATCCTGTATTCTTTGTCTTTTTTTTTTCTTTCCATGTGTAGTACTTACTTTTGCCTACATTTAGGTTTTCAAGAAAGTACCAAGTTTCTCCAACAGAAAAGTCTTTATGGTCTTTCAGCAGTTACATATATATTATATTGGGGAGAGCTCATTTACTCCTTGTAATACTGTGTCCAGAGACAAGGAAGGAGACCACACTAAGGAAAACCTCCCACTCTCTCCCAGAAGCAGGAGTACTCTTTGTGGGTTATGGGTGTACTTTTCCCGCTTTTTCTTTCTTTCTTTCTTTCTTTCTTTCTTTCTTTCTTTCTTTCTTTCTTTCTTTCTTTCTTTCTTTCTTTCTTTCTTTCTTTCTTTCTCTTTTCTTTC